AGAGTTTCCAGACACCCGGTCAGGACTTATTTCTACGACTGACGCAGGCCTCAGTCCTTCCTTTCTACTTCCTGGTGCTAGGTATCTGTCTGCTGTCCACCCTGCAGACCATTTACAGAAGACTCAGGTTAGAGGCTTGTGCCACACCCAGTACACAACATTTGTCTTTGATGTGTTTCTAAAATGACAGTTTACTGAGCTGGTGTTAAAAACAGGAAATCAACCAGCTGTGGGTCGCAGCCTACAGTTTGAAGTTCTGCTGTAAAGTTTAAGGCTTTAAACATTTATCATGGTTCCACTTTCGGCTTTATGCTTGATAACATGATGCTAAAAGCATTTTCACTTTTATACAGTGGTCAGCCAATGAAAACCAACCTCAGACTTGAAGATGGACGAATAGGAGAGCAGCCAGAGGTCATCTATCATGTCTTTCACACGTTGTTTTTTGGAGGCCTCGCTCTGCTGTTTGATGGGTATGTTCATCAGTGTTAAAAGTGTGTTTTAGAATTTGGATATCTTGTTAAATTATTCATTCCTCTTCGGTTAGGAAGCGAATGGACAATGACTGTGTTTTTCCTTCATGCAGGGTGAAATATTTATGGACCCCGTACGTCTGCATGTTTACAGCATTCGGTGTGTGTTCTCCAGAACTCTGGATGACTGTGTTTAAGTGGCTTAAACTGAAGTCTATCCACCCTGTTGTGCTGGTAAGTGCCCTCTTAGATTAATTTTTAACAGGAAACATTGAGCGCTTTCAGTCATAAAAGAAAGTGCATGACTCACACATATATATTGACTGTTGAGCCTCATTCACTCCAAAATGGCCAATTTGAATTGGATTAATATCTCACTGGCAAAATAGCAGCATTACCTACAAACCATTATTATTATTATTATAATAACCAACACTTGCAGACGTTTCTCATCACTTGTTGCTACAAATGCTTGAACCATCCAAGGTCTTGCTTAAGATGTGAATTTTAACTTTTGTTTGCTCACCAGTCTCTGATCCTGAGCACGGCGGTTCCTACCATCATTGGTTTCAGTTTGTGGAGAGAGGTGAGATTTTTTTATTAGCTCTTTTTCTTTTGAAGCTTTTTACGTCAGACATATAAAGGCAGGCACATCACATCTTCCCACACTGCTCTCCTCTGTGTTGCAGTACTGCCCTCGTGTCTTAGCAGAGCTGGCAGATCTGCAGGAGTTCTACGATCCAGATACAGTAGAGCTGGTCAACTGGATCAGGTGGGTCATCAGGCCTTTCTGTATTTTCAAAGATATCTATCAAGTCTTTAACTGATGCGACTGATGTCTTCTTGTTGTCTTCCAGGTCACAGGCTCCAGTGGCGGCTGTCTTTGCAGGCAGCCCTCAGCTGTTGGGAACAGTGAAGTTGTGTTCAGGTTCAGCTGTGACCAGTTTACCGCTTTACTCGGACATCAACCTGCTGAGGAGGACTGAGGATGTGAGTGAGATGAAAGATTCATTCTGAAAGTGGAAAAAGGGAGACACTTAGTACTAGAAAACTACTTTAAAAAGGCGACTTATAACAGTACAATCCATTTTTAACTAGCTAGCTCAAGTCGTTGGGTTATAAAGAGGTAATTCTTGGAACAAATTGAATTCATTCATTCCTCTAAAACATATTCTAGTAATATGTAAATTATGTTTACTTACAAAATGTTGTTGCATGTTCTCCATCTCTCCCCTTATTTACTGCCCGTTCTCTAATAGTATATATTTTAGCTATGGTCTAACAGATTTAGATTTTCACTTGCAAACACAGTTTGTTCTGTCCTTGTAGAGCTACCAGGTGTATGCAATGAGATCTGCAGAGGACATCTATAAGATTCTGACCTCTCAAAAGACAAACTACGTGATCATCGAGGAGTCAATTTGTAACGAGCTTAGTCTTAATAAAGGCTGTCGGATCAAAGACCTGCTCGACATCGCCAATGGACATGTGAGTTCAGACACTTTGGCCCATCTGTATTTCTAGTATTGTGTGTTATTAAAGTGGGTTTTGAATCCATCATCAGTCAACAAGTGTTTCTGGGATATTGTGGTGTTTTCTCAACATAAAACTGAGGAAACTCAAAGTCTGAGTTGTGAGGTTTTCATACATAGAAGCAATGTGCTAATTCTTATTTTGATATTTTGGGAAATTTGCTTTTTTGCTGAGAGTTGGATGAGAGGATTAATACCACTCTCATGTTGGTACGCTAAATATGAAACTACAGCCAGTTAGCTTAGCAAAAACAGTGGAAATGGGGAAAACAGCTAACCGGCTGTTCAAAGGTAACAAAATCTGACTTCCAGCACCTCTAAAGTTCACTAATTAAAATGCATATGTCTCATTTATTTGCTCTACAAAGAGACCTGAAAAAGAAGGAAGCATTTTTTATTCTCATTATGTTTCCATATCCTTCTGTCCCATTTAGGTTGTTTATGACAAAGGCGAGATTTACTCCTTCTCCAAGCACGGAAGATTCTGCCAGGAGATAAAGCTGAACTACTCGCCCTACACAAACTACTTCACTCGAGTCTTCTGGAACCGCTCGTACCACGTCTACAAAGTGAACTCTGTCATCTCCTTTCAGTACTGACAGCAGCTTCTGCCTCCCTGCTGAGACTCAAATCCAGTGTTTCAGATCGTATCCACAACGTAACACAGAGGACTGCAATATGCCTTCGTAGTGCGTGCTCAGAAAAAAAAGGTCTAATCACTGTTACCTTACACATCCCAGTGTAGATGCAAACTCAAAGCAGCCGGGGTCAACTGAGCACATTGTACTTTTGTTTGGCCTACGTGTTGTTCGATCAACATCAGAAGGACCCTGCTGAAGTGAAATATGCCATATTAATCACTGTACTGTAGTTTTATAAGCCATGTGTTGCTGTTACTGTGATGCATTTAATGAAGGGAGAAGTTGACATACGTGAGGTCTGTGTGTGTTCTTTGTACAGAAGCTGAGAGCAGCGGAGATGGGTTTTTTTAGGCCCTTTATTTTGAAACAACAAATAGTGGTCATATTTGTAGTAATGCTGGATCTAGGGAGGGCAGTGTCTGCCTGTTGGTCAGTCAGTAGTGCCACCTCTTTTACTTTTTACTGTAGCACCACCTGCTGGTCAACACGTTCACATCTACTGAGACAATTGTACTCACATTCATGATCTCCAAAGGAGGAGAAAACTTTGTCTCTGTCTGGCTATAGAGACAAAATGTGTCTAGTATTATAGATTATAGGTATGACCACCATTTATTGAGATAATTTGATGATTATGTCTCGATTAGGTGGAAAGAATTTTAGATTTTAACATATGGTTAAGTTAGAATAATAAGCTAACTTGTATCAATGATAAGCCAACATAGTTTGAATCAAGCAAATTTTCATTAGGATCTGTTGTGATAATTAAGAGAAAACATTGGCGTTCTCGCTCTCTGCCACTTTCTGCTTGTTTCCTCTCAAAATGATTCATTTAGTTTATGTGTTGTGTACTTTTAAAAGGCTGCTGCTTCTCATATGCTTATTTTTAATAGGGAATATGTGTCTTTGTAAGCTCCCTATGTAGTGTGAGGTGGGTAAGTGACACCCACCAGCCTTCCCGATACTGGAAGACAAACAACTTGTGATATCAGATATGAAGTTTAGAGTCGCTTCAAGCGCTATGAATGGAAGCTCAGTATTTGTGGAGTGACTCACTGGTTTTAATGTATCTCTGTTTTTACCATGGTTTTGTTATGGGGCAGCTTTGTACACATAATAATACAGCGATGCCTGGCATGAGATAGGTTTTATATCAAGAACCCAGGACAAGAGCAACGGCGTCTGTGAACTTTTAAAACGAGTTGTGTCTCTTTTAGCCTTAAAGCGCAGTGGAGGCTGGTTCTGAAGCTGCTCCTTTCTGTTGCGTTGTCTTCATCTTCATCTGGTTGCCTTATTTTGAGATGTAGGAACCGACTGACTGACCTTCATCAGTCAGACCTCTAGCTAGATTTCCCATCCCACGGTTGTTACCTTGAAGTATTTTTAATTCTCTCTGGTGCTATCGTGCAAGACTCATTAACTGTCCCACTGCAAAAGGCCATGTAGTGAATATTAGGTTTTATTGAATTACTTACGGAGATTAAAAGTGTGTATGAGTTGATAAATAAAAAAGGTGATCTCTATTATGTTGTGTGTTGATATTTTGTGTGAAAAATTGATTTACACAAGCATGACAATGAACATTTTAAGTATGGTAACCTTATGTAATTCCTTCCAGCTCCACCCAACCTCTAGTCAGAGAACACCTGTGTGGCTCTGCAGGGCTTTTAATCTTTTTTATTCATGCTTTAAATTGGAGCAAACTCAATATTAAAGTAGTACTTTCTGAGTATCTGAATACAATTACATATCCCCTTTTTTCAATTTACTATGGTACCCTGAAAGTCATAAAAGATTTTATTTTTGTATTTGTGTGTGGTCAAAGAAAACATACTGGCAGTGGTTCCCAACCTGGGCGTCACGGCTTGATTTTAAGTGATACTCATTTTATTTCAGCATTTCTGCTAAGAAAACTAAATGAAATTGTTATTTTTAAAGTTTTAGATTATTATTTAAGATCTAAACTTTGAAGACCTGAACACAAGTTATAGAGACATATAAGAAGGAAAGACAGAACTCTTCAAAAGTCTATATGATTGTTAAAAAAACGTTCAGTATTGTATAAAACGTTCCTAAAAATGAGGAAAACTCATCTTATTCACAAGAAAATAAAATGCTTAAAAATGACCTTACTAGAACCAGGAGTATTA